GATACTGGGAGTTGCCCGTTTCATGTGTGCGGGGCAGCAGCTCATAGGCTACGGATATATTCAGTTGTCAATCCGATGTACGCTAGGCAAAAGAGATGACATGAGAACAGTGACAAGTGTGAGAAAGTTCCCTCTCTTCACACACCTGACTCTGGGTCTCAGAGGCAATCAAAACACAATGTTAAAGAGACATGTTTTTTTTGGATCTGAACAACTATTTACCCACATTAAAGCGTCTGGGTCAAAATGACCCGCAACATCATCTTTGTATACAAACTCTGCACAGACATTCCACTACACATCAAAGTGTCCAGATTTTACACATCAGTTCATGACCCTAGATGAGGAAAAGTCAGCAATTTCAGCAAGAAAAAGATTCAGATTCAGTTTATTTGCCATTTTCAGTAAAAAAAAACCACATTGGAATACATTAGCGAAAAGTCTCCAGTGTGCACAGACAAATACAGACATAAAACAACATTAAAAGACAAAAATAAAACAAATAAAACAGTAAACAAAAGTCACTGTGAAATCGATAGACTAAAACAGTTCAAAACAAGTGCAAATCATTAAAGTGCTCTGTTCACACTGATAACAGCTTGTGGATAAAAAAAGAAAGAAAGAAAGGATAACAAGTACTTTGATCAACACAAAAACTGAAATGGGTCAATTTGACCCTTAACATAATACAAGGGTTAAGAACAACTAACCTGCTGTAAGTTCACATGTGCGGTCAATTCTTTGGGAAAAATTCAAGCATAAATACAAATATCTCCTCAGTTATCAAATAAGTAATGTTTTCTTGTGTACAATTATTATACTTTATTGCACTGTTAGTTGTTGTGTGTTTCAGAAATGTTATGTGAAGACCGAGGGGAAAATTAAAATCAATAAACAAAACAAAAAAACACAACATTTTATAAGAAAAATGGGAGGAAAAGGTTTGTGTGAAGCCAGGTTTAGAAATGATTTAGGATTAACAAGTGTAGTTAGTTATATTGCACAGTTTATTCACAAGGCGACTAAATGTGCTTCACAAAACAAGAAAGGAAATACTGAAATCATACAGGGAACATATTCTCATGGCCAGCATTATATGATAAGCACAAGAGTGATACAATTATGTTGGAACATTGTCTGAGTCGAAGCATGTCTCACGTTTTCAGGAAGACTATTCTGAATTTTTCCCCCATAAAACTGAACTGCTGCCTTCCCATTTTTAGTCCTGACTCATGACATTAGCAGGTATAAGGAATCCCCTCTACATCAGTTCAGATTAATACAAAACAGACACACTGTCTGACTACTGCACACAATTATCAAAATACCGTTACAATATTCTGTATGTTTATATTAGTGGCCATTGCAGTTACAATGTCCTTTGCGTTACAGTCCAGCCTTCTTGTGGTTCTAAAGTGGCCTCATTGTGTCACCATGAGACGGCTTTAAATGTTGTACTTGCCTGAATAAAGAGCTGGGAGCCTCCTGCTCCTTCTCCTCTGCGTGGCCCTGGCTTCCTCACTCCCGGAGGACATTGATTTGTGGGTAATTAAAATGGCGTGTGTCTGGACGCGGGCCATGCTGCTTCATGTTGTATTCATGCAGATTAATACATATTTGTCGCCGCCTGTGGGGGCTGAACGGCATCTGTCCATCATTAAACATTCATGAGGGTCCTGGTCGTATCGCACACATCTTAATAGAGAACGGTAAATCACTATGTTCAAACGGGGGATTCATAGTGACAACGAGAGCCGCCACACCTGCGTTTAAAGGTGGAATGAAGACCCTATTACTCCTATCACTGGTGGCCATTAAAGGAGTGACGTGTGGATGGCTTGTGCTGAAAAATAGGCAAATGTTTTCTGATTTGTGACCACTGCAGAGCAGCAAAAACGTGTACCTGAGTTGCATTTCAAAATGTTCAAGGTGACATACGCTTTTGGTTGGTTGGTTTTATTATTGGTAAATGAAACCACACGGGTCATTCATCCATCTATCCATTCATATTCATCTGGGGGAATCCCGAGTCATTCCTAGATCAGCTCGAGACACATAGTCCCTCCAACATTTCCTGGGTCTTTCGCAGGGTCTCCTAACGGCAGGACATGCATGGAGGCGTCTGAAACAGATGCCTAAGCCACCTCAACTAATTCTGCTTGTCCCCTTATTATTATTATTATTATTATTATTTATTAAGGACACCTTAGAGTACAATACAGTCCACAGTTAAAAGAAAATAGACAATACATACAGTATATTGCATATTGATAATAAATATTTACATAAAAAGAGAACATCGCAGCTGCTGTACAGTATAAAGGCATAACCTCCAGTAAGTCCATCATTTGGAGGTGAACAGCAGTGAGCAGTACTCAGTGCTGGCCAAAGTTCCGCAGACAACACATGTATCTGAACTGTACATTAGAAAGAGATGCAGAACAGGAGCGGACGCCACAGAAGGCAAACATCTCACTCGCACTGCTGTGTCAAGGAACCTTCAGCAGCAGTCTCATGGAGTTTCTGCAAACTAGACTTTTAAAATCTATTCCGAAGATGAACGGTGTACATAGGTGAGCAATAAGATTTAAATAGTTACCTTTACCTCAGGAGAACATATACTGAACTTACTTTGCAGCATATTGGATTGGCCATACCTGACACAGCTGCCTGTGCATGATCTTGTTATCAGAGAGGTCACTGGAGAAAAGATTTGGAAACCATAATTTATTGTCATCTTCTGTACATGCAATCATTACAAGGATTTTTGCAACATTATATTTGACATAATGATCCAAACCATGTTGAGAACACACATTAAGTAGCTGCTGGAGACCAGAACTGCAGGGTCTGACCACCACCAGATCATCTGCATACATGAGGTGATTATACATGTATCTGCTAAAACCAACACTGCCTCCTGTGGTACAGGTGTTGAGTTGCACCGACAGGTTAACCATGTACACATTAAACAACATGAGAGAGAGAATCCCTCCCTAACTTAATCATGTCCTTTCCACCATTACCCAAAGCTCCTGGCCGCATTGATAATAATTTTCATAATTATGTTCATAACAGACAAAGTTGATCCAGATTGTTTTGATTATAGTATGAGGTTCATTGAATTACTGCATAACTGCAGAACAGTTAGAGCTTGAACATTGTTATATTTTTGTTCTATAAATGTTGTTTGTCCGAACACAAAGAGTCTTATAAAGATGTGAATAAATCAGACCACAACAGGCTGTCTTCATTATATTAGAAAACACAAGTTTATCTATCTTGCAAAACAACTGATAAACTAGTAATTAGTTTTTATTACTTAGCTTTCGGTGTTTTGAAAGTTAGGTACATCACCTTTAAGCTCACATTAAAGCTGCATTTCATACTTAGATTTCTGTTGAATTACACCATTTATTTGTCTAACCTGGAGTCAGAATTGAAGTGGCTTGTTTGTACAGAATTACCCAAAAGGAGCTAATTTTTGCCATCAGAAAAGTATCTATATATGACTGAATATTTAGGAAAATGAAAAACATTACTCCAAATCGAGAATTAAACAAACAAATTCAAGTTTGATTTACTTTTCCTGTATACCGTGGATACCTGTCATAAAATATGTCACGTTTTAACCTGATATGCATATGACGAAGGTAAAAAGACAAACAATACATTTGTTTTGTTTTATTATTTCTAGTATTATATCTGTCTGTATTTCCATCACCCCCTCCTTTACTAGAGTCCAAATGAAACTTGAATTTATGAACTGAAGACTTGTTATCTCCACAGAAACGCTGCCAAGGGGAGCAGTGAAGGGCAGTCACACGTGAACGCCCAGTGGGAAAATATTAACCAAATTAATCAGGGTTAATTAGCAGCGGATGTGCTCTAAGTGCTTTTAATTGCATGAGGCAAAGACAAAAAGCTGTCGCTGCACAGTAATTTCTTCTTTCCACATTTACTATTGATATCATGTTTTTTATGTATAACTTTTGGCTCATCAAGAGGATATTCAAAACATTAAAAGGTGCTCAATGTATTTTTAGGTTACGTTTCTGTGGAATAAAAACAGATATATAAAATACAGCCAATCTTCAAAACAATATATAGATGAACACTGTTTTAGCCACAGCTGCCCTGGAGAAAGTATTATGTGTCCTGCTCACACTAGGCAATGTGGGTGAAGTGTCTTGCTTAAGTGCATTATGTCAGTTTGGCACTTTACAGCTGCAGCAGGCCTCCCGGTGTTCCCAGAGGTCTCCCATCACAATAATAACCAGGCTTTGCCCCTGCTTACCTTGAGAGGTCTAAGGATTTGGCTTATTGTTTACATCAACATGCTTTTGGTATGTGAGTGAATGGTGACCTCTCGAGAGAAAAAAAGACTTTACAATGTAATTATGTAAAGTTTACATATTTTGTATTTAAAAAATGTTACTGTTTTTCAAACTTTTGCCAAATATTGTAGTGCCACTTTCACATTTTAATATTTGTGTTGTACACAGAGTTGCATATGTTTTGTTGATGTGATTTTAGAGTCTATGTTTTTAATTCAAGTTCAAGTAAATGAAAAATACATTGATAAAGCTACAATTCAACAACAACAAAATATGAATGAAAAAGAGCAGCCACAAGTATAAATCTGCCCTTGCTTCTGTTAGTGTAGCATGTGTGTGTTTTGTGTGTGCAGGACTCTCATGAAGAGTCCTTGAGTAAATAAATATAGTTAAAAAAATGATAAAACCAATGAAATTTTTTTTGACCATGGTTACTGTGGAAACTGCTAATGGAGGTCAAGTGCTTACAATTGTACATAATTACCACAAGATATTCTTTGTTATTGCATGAAGTAGCAAATCAATGTGATCCTTCAGTTTGGTAAAAGTAAAATAATATTCTCTGCTTTTACCTTGTGATTCATCGCGTCTGTTGACAATAACGATCATGCTCTTTTCTCCGGTCCTAAGCTGCTGTGTGTGTTTTCGACAGGGGGTTGGAGCATGTGGGGTCAGTGGGCCCAGTGCAGCAGCGACTGTGGAGGAGGAGTCCAGACGAGGAAGAGGAGCTGCCAGTCTCCAGCGGACGAGTCATATCTGTGCGAGGGCGTTCTGGAAGAGGGGAGGCCCTGCAACTCACAAGCCTGCTCCACCAACACCAGGACCAGTAAGACCCACACGTACTCGCGCACACAGGAAAATGGCCTTTTGACTTCGACTGTGCCTTCCAGCTAATAATGGCCCTCTGAAAGTAAATGGGAAAACTGTGATGGCCGACCAAATAATATGGCGTTGTCAAAAATTGAAATGCATTCACACTTGAGTCTCGGACACACTACAACTTTTTGTTCAACGCATTCTTAAAATAATAAGTCATTATTACAGGTAACAGACTATAATGTTAAAATCACACTTTAACACTATTTTATATCATAGGTGGACAGCATCAGTAAGAGAGGCAAAATTAGCAAACAATTATGAGTTTGTTTTTTTTACAGAGATCTTTAGGACATTTGAATATACAATGGGTTAAATCTTTTAGTTTTAAAAGACAACTTTATAATTAAGGCCTATATTTTAAAAAGACTCCTCAGTGCAAATGTAAATATTAGATTATTCTCGGTTCCATCACCTCACATCTCTTCCTCGCTCCTTTTTCTGGCCAATTGTTGATCTCACCTCTGATTGTAAAGTGGTACAATAGAATAGTCAAGGGTTCATGTTGTAGTTTTATTTTGAACTTTAGTTAAGATTTAAGATCTGCCCTGATAACAAGTAATCCATTATCTTCCAAACCATGTAACCGCTATCCAGGTTGATGGTGCTGGCCTAGTTTATTTGCTATAAAATTGTGAATGCACCTTACACTACCCACATGATTTGCTTTATAATAACTTAAATAACATTAGAATTAAGGATTAGACCTGGTTTAGTCCGTGAATGAGTGCTGGGCATCCTTATTTCACAGCGTTTTCTAACATACAAAGGCACATTGATCAGGGAGGCCATTTTAGTAGGAGGGCACAAAGGTCCATCCGTGGCTGTCTGGGCTTCGAAGCTTGGTTGTTATATGTAATTGTGTGCTATGTGTGTGTCTTCAGCTATTCTTCTTGATGCTTTTTCTCATCTTTTTCACACCGCTGTGTATCTACCCATCATCTATAAGTCAGTATTTGACTTAAGGAGTGCATGTTGGAAAGGGGACTTTGATCGATGAAAAGTAATAATGAGTTGCTTTCTTTGGCCACACATATAGTTCATCCAAAGCGTCTAAAGGGACGAAGACGAATTGGCCGCAGATGTAGCAGTCCTTCTCTGAAATGTATTGCTTTGTGTGTCATTTTTTGAACAAATGGCTTTCTCCGTAGCTCTTTCTTTCTTGCAGATACATTTTTGAAAGAAGAAGGCTTACTTTTTTGGCACTTTGCTTCACATACCTAAACACCACACTAAGTTGCACCACATCAAAAAGTCCCAAGTTTGGCTGATGCTACTTTTGGGTGACCGGATAATGATAATTGTGTCCCAAATAAATAGGGTTGTTCCGATACCGATACTACTACCAAACTGCTATTCTGCACTGTGTTGTCCTGATTGAGGGCTTGTACATGTGTGCTGCCGCTGTGTACCACTTGTGGCAAAATCTGACGAAAAATTGATAAGTCCAATTCATAAAACACTCCAAACAAGCAATGATTTTGTTACCTCTTCAATTCCTTTATCTAACCTTGAAAAAATAGAACTTTGGAAAAATGTGGAGGGTTCAAAGAGCACTCATTTTAGATTATTTTCTTAGACTAGTTTACTACAAGTACTTTTCCAAGCTCACTTAGTCTATTTGCAGTTTTTACAATCTGTGAATACCTTTTCAATCTGGAGTTACATTTGTAGATTGTCTTGAAGTTTGATAAAGCTCTTCGCTGGATAGGTTGCATTAATGTGACATCACAACATTCATAGAGCCTGTAGTTTTAAACTCCGATAGAGGGCAGCTGGTAACTATAGTAACAGTCAAAAGACCAATACAGATAATACAAATTATCTAGATACAGTATTATCTCATAAAGGTGTCTCGAAGGCGTGACAGTATTCAATAAACATCTGCAATCTGTTGTCCTGTAGAAAAAACGTTAGACATAAAAGTAATACGGCATGTTTGTAAATCTAATCACTATCAAATAATTATCTGGGAAAACATTTGGACCTTTTAGTTTTATACACGTCTTTCAAAAATAGCTTCTTTCCTAGAGAGTTGTAATGAGATTTGCCCTCCAGCTAAAATAGATTTTTAGAACATACAATCTATCCCGGCCAATGAGAATGCTTTAAACTAGTCAATGCTTGATCTATGTGAAATATGCTTTTTTGCATTTAAATGAGACTGTACTCTTTATTTGAGAATCTCAAAAACAGCTCTGTAGCCAATCTCAACACTGACCCTGACAATGGGCCAGACAATATAACTCTTTGTTATCGGAACAACACTACAAAATAAAGGACAATAAGATCTATACGTATATATCCCTCCTCCCACACCCCGGCTCCTCCTTCATGTAGGCAAAGGGCGCCACCTCTCTCGCAGCCAGTCCCTGCGCTCCGTGGACAGCCGAAAGCGCGAAGACGTAGACAAGGCGCGCCCAGGACCCCAGAGCCAGCAGCCAGGTAAGGGAGCCCCGGCATCAGCCACTGTGGCAGCTTGGGTGACCACCGAACAGAGACACGACAACAACACAACACAATTCACATCCACAGTTTGTAAGTCTATCAGCCGATATCATCACAATGGACTGATTCCAACATGGACCCTGACCAACATAGTGAAGTGGTATTTCTCGTGACAGGCTGCTGTGCTGGGTCTGTTCTCAACTCTCTATCTCCGAAAGTCTTCCAAGCTCTTAAAGTGATGCTCCACACAAAAGCTGTCTATAAAAATCTTACTGCAATGTTGTTTAAAGCTGGCTTGGGTTCATGGACATGTTTATCTATACCCACTGGTATCTGGCATTCTCAAAGCTTTGGTTCAAAACAAATAACCCAGTGATCTACAGGACGTTGATCTTATATTGCATAATCAATTACCCCTTTGTGTTGCTTTACTGAGTTGAATTCAAAGTGAATCATTAGACTGAAGTTCTTTTAATGCAGTTGCAAATGAAAAGAAAAAAGCCATTGAGTTTTGTGCACCAATAGAACATATAGAGTACTTTATTGTCCCTTTGGTTGGTGGACTATTTTTATATTGTGCATCTCAGCGTTCTGTGGTTGTTCGGAGGATTGCAGAATGGAATGATGCAGTTCTTGTTGTCAGCGTGGCTCTGGAGTAGAGCTGTGAGATGTTGGAAATGGGTATTAGAATGGACATTTCCCCCTCTCTCTCATCACTCAGAAACAACTTTGTGTGGAGTACCACTTTAACTGTTAACCCTACTTCCTGTTTAGCCCGCAGTCCCTGCTTCACCTTCCGGTTCTCCTGTCTGACTCAGCTGAGCTCCTATGAACCATGACTGACATATCCTTAGCGACACGCATTCACTTCTGCCAGAAGTCAATGTCGAGGATATGGCATCAGAGCCCTGCAGCTAAATTGACCCTAAACCCAGATATTGTATTTGTATAATTCTTATGATTTTTTTTTCTTGGGCCGCCTCTTTTTCTAAATCAAATTTAAATACAAAACCTTTGGACTAAACATATGGAATGTCCTTTTACTTTGAAAATAAAATTATATTCTATTTTCATATAGAAGGTTGTGTAGAATAATGACCAGCCATTATGATAGAACTTTACCATTTAACTTATTTCATTTCTTGTTATTCAGCTATACAGTACTATATAGACTTCTGAGAGAAAGTCTTTATCACAGTCAGGGTTACTGCTTTTCCATACATAACATTAAATAGATGACTTTACGTGTTCCAGGGTGGAGAGCAGAGGAGAGTAGAAGGATTGGGAGGGGTCTATTTGGGTTTATAGAGGTGAGAAATCTTGAATAATTATTTCTCTTCTGACCTTTATTCCTGCGATGAGAACAGATGTTTGAGAGTGCTACTGTCAAGTAACAGATAAACTCTCAGCTTAAAAATACACATATTATTCAGGATGGCAGGGAAGGGAGATTGTACTCTTTTTGTAGATACAATCAGGACTTTTGAAGGGTATTATCAAATCTGAAGTTTAAAGGAGGCGGTCCATGAAAGGCCCCGCAGCTAGACTCCACCCCTCACCACAGCACCACCCCTGTCCTTATTTGGCCGCTGGGGCTGTTTCCTGCATGCTAATTGGTTGTGGTCCTCTCTGTCCCACCCTCACTTCCTGCTGCAGTGGAGCCGGCCTCTGGGGAGGAGTGGTCGGCCTGGAGCGTGTGCTCTGCCACCTGTGGAGAGGGCTGGCAGAGCCGCACTCGCTTCTGTGTGTCGTCCTCCTACAGCACGCAGTGCAGCGGGCCGCTGCGCGAGCAGAGACCCTGCAACAACTCAGCCGTGTGTCCAGGTAAGCCCCGCCCCTGCAGCCCTGCCCACAACATGGCTCTGCCTCCCTTGGTGAAATCTACCACATGTTACTGTCAGCAGTGTATGTATGCCAAGGTCCAATGACTTAAGTGGTTATTTATTCACATCCACTGCTGATCAATTGAAGCAGTAACTGCATGGTTGTGAATTACACCATGGGATCAGACCCTCCTCCAGCCTCCCCCGCTTCACTTTGAAACCCTCTGACTCCCCACTCGACAAGCACTTTCCAAACCAAATCTCCTCTTTACCCAGGGCTCTGGTTGCAAGTTAGCTTTGGTCAGGCTTACCGACATGCAGGGCGACTCATGTAGAGCCAAATTAGACGTCAAGTGGCCGAAACTCAAAATATCAACCGATACATGTCGCAAACACTGATATCTACTTGATTTAAGATTACTTGAATTCTTTATGCTTATAATTTATTTTCATCCCAATGTTTATACTTTTGTTTTTTTTAAGTTGTGTTTTCCAATTTGTTCTCAGTTATTTGAATTCCTTCCTAAACTTTTTCAGAGTTGCATTTTCTTACAAAATAATTACTCCTTCCAAATTTGTCATGATGTAAAACATTGTGAAACAAAACACTTTGTATCAATCAATTTGGTCCTTAAAAAATTCCCATGTATCTTTCCTCGAGGATGACACGACTCTTGGTTCATGTCTGTAAAGTAGATTTTCTTGCGACTACAACCAGACCATGTGGCTCCAAACGGTCTTTTGAATACAGTATGTTTGATTGATGAAGCCAATCCCACTGTTTCATTTCAATTAATCTAACTGCTTTGTCTTCACCAAAAACATGGCAACACAGTTTTTATTTGTGGAACTTTTAAAGTGTTAAAAGTTTGTCTTTTAAATCTGTGCAAAACAATTATTTTGCCAAAATTGATATATTTTATTTTACTTGAGGTTTGGATATTCTTTTTGAACAAAACAAAATGATGGTTTTCTTGAGATGCCATGGTAGCCCATGTTTTTAAAAACTAAAAAACAAAACAAAAAAATCCAACTATGTCTCCTTTGAAATTCCGCAAAATAGTTGGTTGATCCTCCTCTGGAAAGTTCCATACTGCACTCTGAAACAGGTGACCAATAAAATAAATTCATAAAACATAGATGACTATTCTGAATTCAAGTGGTTTCATCCATGTAGATATAGTGTGTTGCGTTGTTCCTGATCTCTGGCAGTCTAATGGCTACACAAGGCGCTCTGATTGCAGTGCATGGTGCTTGGGACGAGTGGTCGCCATGGAGTCTCTGCTCGTCCACCTGTGGGCGGGGCTACAGGTCCCGAACACGCACCTGTACCCCGCCACAGTTTAACGGAGACAAATGTGACGGACCCGAGAAGCAGACTAAGTTCTGCAACATAGCCGTGTGTCCAGGTGAGGAAGAGGCATACTTACATCTTCATCACCATCAGTCATAGTCCTCACATCATGGGTGGAAGGGACATTGTACCATTTATCAGATACATACTGACATGTTTATCGATTGTGTTGTAATACTGTTGTTTTTCATACTGTAAACTGTACATTTTATGGTTTGTTACTGCCGTTACTCTTTTTTTCATTTATTGATCGCAATTTATGTTCAACATCGATGTTTGAATTTTACAATAATCAAGTTCATACTTACACACTCACAATACTGTGATGATCCTTTCAGGTCTTTATAATGCAGATTTTTGTCTGCTTTTGCCTTAAGGTTGAGCTCCTCACTGTGTGGGGCCAGACCATCTATTCCCAAGGCAAATGTATCTACAGTGGGGCAAAAAAGTATTTAGTCAGCCACCGATTGTGCCAGTTCTCCCACTTAAAATAATGACAGAGGTCTGTAATTTTCATCATAGGTACACTTCAACTGTGAGAGACAGAATGTGGAAAAAAAAACAGGAATTCACATTCTAGGATTTTTAAAGAATTTGTTTGTAAATTATGGTGGAAAATAAGTATTTGGTCAAAAACAAATATTCAACTCAATACTTTGTCATATAACCTTTGTTGGCAATAACAGAGGTCAAACGAATACTATAGGTCTTTACCAGGTTTGCACACACAGTAGCTGGTATTTTGGCCCATTCCTCCATGCAGATCTTCTCGAGAGTAGTGAACACGGACTTTCAATTCCCTCCACAGATTTTCAATGGGGTTGAGGTCTGGAGACTGGCTAGGCCACTCCAGGACTTTCAAATGCTTCTTACGGAGCCACTCCTTTGTTGCCCGGACGGTGTGTTTGGGATCAGTGTCATGCTGGAAGACCCAGCCACGTTTCATCTTCAAAGCTCTCACTGATGGGAGGAGGTTTTGGCTCAAAATCTCACGATACATGGCCCCATTCATTCTTTCCTTAACACCGATCAGTCGTCCTGTCCCCTTAGCGGAAAAATAGCCCCAAAGCATGACGTTTCCACCCCCATGCTTCACAGTAGGTATGGTGTTCTTGGGATGCAACTCAGTATTCTTCTTCCTCCAAACACGACGAGTTGAGTTTATACCAAACAGTTCTACTTTGGTTTCATCTGACCACATAACATTCTCCCAATCCTCTGCTGTATCATCCATGTGCTCTCTGGCAAACTTCAGACGGGCCTGGACATGCACTGGCTTCAGCAGGGGGACACGTCTGGCACTGCAGGATTTAATTCCCTCTCGCCGTAGTGTGTTACTGATAGTAACCTTTGTTACTTTGGTCCCAGCTCTCTGCAGGTCATTCACCAGGTCCCCCCGTGTGGTTTTGAGATTTTTGATCACCGTTCTCATGATCATTTTGACCCCACGGGATGAGATCTTGCGTGGAGCCCCAGATTGAGTGGTCTTGTATGTCTTCCATTTTCTGATTATTGCTCCCACAGTTGATTTGTTCACACCAAGCAGCTTGCCTATTGTAGATTCACTCTTCCCAGTCTGGTGCAGGTCTACAATTCTTTTCCTGGTGTCCTTCGACAGCTCTTTGGTCAAGTTCAAACAGGTGCCATTAATACAGGTAATGAGTGGAGGACAGAAGAGCTTCTTAAAGAAGAAGTTACAGGTCTGTGAGAGCCAGAGATCTTCCTTGTTTGAAGTGACCCAATACTTATTTTCCACCATAATTTACAAATAAATTCTTTAAAAATCCTACAATGTGAATACCTGGATTTTTTTTTTCACATTCTGTCTCTCACAGTTGAAGTGTACCTATGATGAAAATTACAGACCTCTGTCATTATTTTAAGTGGGAGAACTTGCACAATTGGTGGCTGACTAATACTTTTTTGCCCCACTGTATATACCGTGAATAGGTTTGATTTTTAGATTTTTTTCCACTATAGATCATGTTTGGATGGTGGGGAATTATCAAAATATTTAAAATTTTCCTTTAACAATTAGACAAAACTTTGCAATTTGCAATAAACGTTTGTGTCCATAGAGCTAAATTTTAAGCTTCTCTTGTTTTACTGTATATTGATTAAAGCTTTAGTGCAAGAAAATAGCGCACAGAACTCTGGCATCATGTCATAAACAAACAAAAGTAACCTGTAGAGGCCTTGCTGCTTGGACGGGAAGTGATGATGTCATATGAGATAATCTTGTAGAGATATAAACTGCTCACCTTTATGATCTTACACCAGGCGTAAACAAACGTTGACTTCAGTGCAGGACGTCTTTAGAGTGGTTTGACTGTAAGTAGTAGTGATGGCTTCAAGGTAAAGTGTGTGTTACACTGACTTCAGTCTCTGCGGTGTGGTTTTGCCTAAAGCCGCGAAAGGTGACAAGGATTGAACTGAAGAAGAACTGTTTAATTAATGAAGAGAAAAAAAACGAAAACCAAAGTTAGTGGAACATAGCTCTTGGTTTGTAGACCTTTCTCTTTTCCGCTCCACATTGAAGTCTAACAGTGAATGAGTCAATCCACTGCTGAGCAGAGCATACTGTATCTGACAGGCTAAAGAAATCCATCCATCCATTTTCTTCCGCTTCATCCGTTGCCGGGTCGCGGGGGCAGCCGTCTAAACAGAGACGCCCAGGCTTCCCTATCCACACACACTTCATCCAGTTCTTCCGAGGGGATCCCAAGGCGTTCCCAGGACACCTGAGAGACTATAGTCCTGCCAGCGTGTCCTGGGTCTTCCCCGGGGCCTCTTCCCGGTGGGATGTGCCCAGAACACCTCCCCAGTAGGCACCCGGAACAGCTCCTCACTATATCTCTAATAGGATGAAGAGTGGAGGAAGCTAATTTCGACCACTTGTAGCCGTGATCACGGTCTTTCAGTCATTACCTATCTATATAACATAAGATCTATAACACGTTAAAACAATGTAAACAGGCTCAATTGTTCTTGTTTGAGCTCCTGTGTCGAATAAAATTTATCTAAGTCTAAAACTTTTTTTAAACTTTAACCTATACACGTCGGAGTCCCAGTCGCAGGGGGCTGATGGAAATTCTTCCCACCCTCAAAGGCGCACGAAAGATGTTTTAAAAGGGAGAGTCTATCGTCTCTGTCTTTGAACCTTGACAAGCAAACAAAGTAAAAGGTGTTATTAGAGATACTTACCTTAAACATAGCAGTTGTGTAGCTCAGTGTTTTTCAACCAGTGTGCCGTGGTACATTAGTGTGCCTTGAGATGTTGTTTGGTGTGCCTTAATTGGTCAAAATAATGTGAGAAGATTAGAAAGACTTTTTGTAGTAGTAAGTAGTAGTAAGTAATCTTTATTTATATACCGCCTTTTCACTGCACATCGGAGTCTCAAAGCGGTTTACAATTGTGATTTTTGGGAGTGGGGGTGCCAGTACAGGAGGCACATGTCAGACCTATTGTACATATTTTTAGTGGTAGGGGAAACCGGAGCACCCGGAGGAAACCTACGCAGACACAGGGAGAACATGCAAACTCCACTCAGAAAGGCCCTGGTCCAACCGGGATTCGAACCCAGGACCTTCTTGCTGAGAGGCGAGAGTGCTATCCACTCAGCCACCGTGCCGCCACTTTTTGAGCTCATTTGATTTGAATGACTATGCTTTCATACTAAAAGCTGCAAAGTTTCATGTTTGTATCAGTTTCAGCCGGTGGTGTGCCATGTGAGTGTTTTCAAACAAAAAGGTGTGCCACAGCTACAAAAAGGTTGGGAAACACTGGTGTAGCTCACACTAAGGGGGGAAATTCTACCGTCCCAGGGCTCTCTGATGCTGTGCACACACCACAATCACACCACAAGAGAATCACAGAGCATCAGAGAAGTATGCTGAGGCCTTTAGGGGCAACGAGGTCTCAAAGTTTGGCTTTGTCGGCCAAGTTCAGGACAATGGTGCTCATTTGCATCTCATGAATGAGCTGCAACAGAATGTCACTGATGTCAGGCTGTAGTGCATATTTACGTACTGCTAATGATATACATTGTAGTATGTCCCATAGAAGGGTTCATTTCATAGAATTGGATGAACTTGCTCATTGTAAATACTCACACATTTCATTCATTAAAACCTTTTGTCCACACTCAGTATTTGTTCTTCTTTTGACTTGATGTGTGCTGTGATCATGAGGGGCTGACGCTCTTGCTCCCCTTAGTGGACGGTGTGTGGAATGAGTGGTCCAGCTGGAGTTTGTGTTCTGCCACTTGTTCAAACGGGACAATGCAGAGGACGCGAGAGTGCAACGGCCCCTCGTACGGAGGCTCCGAGTGCAGGGGCGAGTGGCTGGAGACGGTGGACTGCTTCCTCGGAGAATGTCCTGGTATGAGCAGTATAGAGTTCAATAAACAACGTATGTTTCAGAGGTACAAAACTGTTACACAATGTTTCAATGAGTAAACCTATTTTCACGATATGAATAGACATAAAAGATGACATGGCATTTGCGATACTGTCGCAGTGTCAAAGGTGGTAATCACATCTAAACTGTGTAAGAGTTGTTACAGTCTGAGAACAAATATAAAGGTCTTGGAGTTATTTTCATTTTGTACTGAACCCAGATAGTGCAGCTCACACATTTCACATAAGTCACAATACAGACAGATTTGATTCAACAGTTTGTTTTTTTGTGGAATTATGACGTTAGATATTTTCCATGTGCTGTCAGCGAACAAGCTACCTCTGCTCTGTAGATGCAGCAACTGGAAAGGAATAAAACTAGCCTTGAATTAAAATGTTATAGTGTGTTATACATGTTGATTGTTCCAAGTAGTCTATCAGCTTGATATGAGCACTGCAAATATGATACAAAGTAATCCAACAATGAAGCTTGGTTGGTAATTGAAATATCCATCTATTTTCTTCCGCTCTAACCGTTGCAGGGTGGCGGGGGCAGCAGTCTAAGCAGAGACGGCCAGACTTCCCTTTCCAATTGTAACGTCTCCACCCTAAAAACGTTACACTTCTGGAGAGAGGAATTTTGTATTTTTAAATGTTACTTTTTTATCCAAGTGAACCCTTTAGGTGCCAAAGTAGAAGAATTGCTTCATGGGATCCTTTCTACAGCAACCAGCTTCCTGCAGCTTTTTTTTTTTACATATAAGTATTTTATTTCTTATTTATGTTATTGATATGAAACAGACAAAAGTAGAGCTCCACCTTTTGTCTGTTTCACATCACATTCACCAAAAGGGTTAGGGCTGATAATTAGGGAATGGCTGCTTGAAATACACTTTGGCTGCTTTTAAGATCAAGATCCAATCAAGAAATTATTTTAACCAAATTACGTAAATATGTTATTACTTTTTTTCATCACGCTTCTTTATATTAATATAATGTGTCAAACAAATACACACAAAGAATAGAAGTTTTACCAGTAGAATGAAAAAGCCCCTTTGCCTGATGTAACACTATGCTCCTCAGTGGACGGGAAGTGGCAGCAGTGGTCCCTGTGGTCGGGCTGCTCCCAAACCTGTGGAGGGGGCAGTCAGCAGCGGAGCAGGGTCTGCTTTGGGCCGTTCTTTGGAGGTCAGGCATGTCCCGGAGACCGCGAAGAGGTGCGCAGCTGCAATGAAAAGCGCTGCCCAGAGCCTTATGAAATCTGCGCAGAAGACAATTTCAACAATGTGGTTTGGAAGAAGACCCCAGCGGGAGACACGGCGGCGGTGAGGTGTCCACCCAATGCCGTGGGTAAGAGCTGGAATAATTCTGAACACAATGTATGCTATGGTTCAACTTAAAGCATAAGATGAGCTCCAGGAATCATTTAGTAGTGATGGCTCCATGTTAAAGTTGTACAGTTTAACCAATTATTCATGTCTTTGTTTTGATATATTTTAAAGATAAACAATCAAACAATATATAGGGAATTCTAAAAGGTCAGTTCTCCGTCTCTGGTATATAGTAACTTTATGACATGACCACAAGGCAGATATATATGTGTACATACTGCATATCCTAGTGTACGGTTGGTAAGTGAAGGATGGCATCAGAGCAGAACACTGTGTCTATAATCATATTATTACAACCCTGAGAACATGGAAACTACAATATTGTCAAATGTCAATATATGTCTTGATCAATCAAAATGTGTATTTGTCAGATAATTGTTTTTGTCGGGATTTTAATATTTTGGAGTAAGAACCAGACTATGCACACATTTAGATGATCATCTCTGCACTGAGCATGTGAGGCGGTTTATTTTCTTTCATCTGTAGTATTACGATTCTTTCAGACTAAGATTTAAGACTAAATTTTGCAATCAATATGCTATTGATCTTTCTCTGCACAGGTATGATATTGCGCCGCTGTCTTCTTGATGGCGAGGGCATCGCCTTCTGGGAAAATCCTACTTACATGAAATGTATCTCCAATGACTATCGCAGCATTCAAACCTCAGTAAGTTTTTTTATAATATATTACATCAGTGCCATTTTCTGAACTCTAAATATTTAACAAAGAAAAGAACCTTCAAAGATGTATTTTACTCAAATACAATTTAATACTCATCAAAATAAAAAGACTCACCACAAATACCTAACTCCTGACTCCTGACTCGGCGGCACGGTGGCTGAGTGGATAGCACTCTCGCCTCTCAGCAAGAAGGTCCTGGGTTCAAATCCCGGCCGGACCAGGGCCTTTCTGAGTGGAGTTTGCATGTTCTCCCCGTGTCTGCGTAGGTTTCCTCCGGGTACTCCGGTTTCCCCTACCACTAAAAATATGTCCAATAGTTCTGGCATGCGCCTCCTGTACTGGCGACCCCGCTCCCATCTCTGTGTGGAGTGAGAGACAAATGCCCAAAATTAACAATTGTAAACCGCTTTGAGACTCAGATCTGCAGTGAAAAGGCGGTATATAAATAAAAACTTACTTACTTACTTACTTACTGACTTCTTTTTAAGTGCTGCTTTGTCAAAAATGCAGCCTGTGAACCGCCTTGAAGTGCAACTGCTCAACACATGCTCATGGTGTCACAATGAGAGGTATTTTAGATTTCCTCTCCGCTCTGGTTTCCAATACCACTAAAATTATGAAAAATAGGGAATATCCTGACCAATCCAAGCATCAACATCTGGGGATGAGTCTCCAGGCTCTGCACAATGATGACCACTGCTCCTGACAAGTTGCTGAGTGGTAAATGCAGGTTTCAGACAATTCCCATGCCACAAGTGCAAACAAAAGTGCTCTAGCCCTATTTCTCAATATTTATTTAATTATAAGTTCTGTCCGTTCAATGCATATATAACGGCGATAACGCAAACCCTTTTTCATGTACTGTTTTTGACCAAATCTCCATTAAGGGGAACAATTGTTTACATATGTACAAAACGTTTCCCTACAAGGGCATTTACATATGTGTGAAGGCTCAGGATTTGTATATCAACAATCCAATGTTGATATGTTCCAATCAAAATCAAGCTGCAAAGTGAAATGACTCTTGTCTTCTGTTCTGGTAGACGCGGGAGCACTTGTCCAAGGCGCAGAGGGGCCTTGTGGGAGATGGAGTTTCGGAGGTGATGAACAAACTCAAAGTGACGTCCAGTGATGGCACCAGCTACAGCGGAGACCTGCTGGCAACTATAGATGTCCTGAAGAACATGACGGAGATCTTCAGACGAGCCTACTACAACCCCAGTTTAGCCGACATAAGGGTTAGTGAGGGCGAGTTTAAAAATTGTTGAAAGTGTGGGTCAGCGTTGGGGAGTTTGTATAATATTTTACTATAAAGGACAATAATTTATGCACACATCCATGTTATAGTATATCAAAATTATTTTATCATATCTATTATACTTTCTCACATCCTGTACGTTTTATTAATATATATTTTCACTTGGGGTTCTGCTTCTTTTTATCTTTTTCCGAACTCTGAATCCTTTTCCAAGAGAGAAGGCCATTTTGATAGATGTCAGATTGTGAAGGAAAAATACACAAACGATGCGGGCAGCCTTGGTGAAAGCGCTGTCCGTGGTGCTGAAATGACATTGCTCTTATTTATGTGCATAATTTTGGGCACGGGATGTAAAATCTGAGTTCAAGTGTGTATTTTTGAATTTGATTTATGTGCTTTTAACCTTGTGTTATGTTTAAGCCATGATCAATGGTTCCATGAATAGACACTGTTTACAATAATGAAGTACAACATGTCACTTCATTTTGGCAGACAAATTTTGTTTCGTATTGAGCTTAAAGTCTGCAAAATGGGAGTAGGCAGTGGGCCCAGTGGCTTTTCTTGTTTATTTTTTATTTATTTTTTTCTTGTTTAGCTGATAGATCTCGATTGAAGGACGAATTTCTGCTGACATCATTGACACTTATTTCTTGCACCTTGTTTAGCTAAAGCTGGACTTTTTTTTACCAGAAACATGTTGTTTGCCAGAATAACAGACTCTTGTAAAAGTCAAAAGTTGTCAAGTCAGACCACAACATGCTGATTTCATCTCATGACAACCAGACAGCATCCTTGTAAAAAAAAATAAAAAAGTGTGACACAGGCCAATAATAGATAATATGTGAAAACTGGGGACAGAACCAAACTGATTTTTAAAGTGAGGAACTATTTAGATTCATTTTCTTGCATGGATCAATTTTAAGGGGTAGGGTTAGGGTATGGGTATAAACATAGGGTATGTTTAGGTACCCCACTTTTTTTCTTCACGAGTGTGATGTTTCTCTGGTTTATTGCACAGTATTATTTTGAAGTGAAGCGTTGAAAATAGGTTGTCATTCTTGTCTCCCAGAACTTCGTGCAGTCTGTGAGCAACCTACTGATGGAGGAGAACCGCGACAGATGGGAAGAAGCACAACTGGTGAGCTAACGAACCTTCGACCTCGTCTGTAATCAGCCTCTTTGTTTGCTTGTTTACGACCACAGCGACAAAGACCGGCGCAGCTATACAGACGGCTGAATTAGCTCGACTCCTGCGACAAAGAAGCAGGTGTATGCGGCTACAGACTGACAGCGGCGTGTTCAAAAATAGCAGATAATGAGTAACCGGGTCCAAGCGGCCGCCCACTCGCACGCTCGCCCATCTGCACTTGTTTATCGCAAAGTTTTTTGTTTTTTGTTTATATTCCAGCACACATCTCTCCAAAGTCGACTCTACGTGCAGGCAATGGAAAGCCGCAAAACTTCAAATCAGACTTTCATTTGTGTGATTTCTGCCATGAAAAAATTGTGTTTTCAATGGACTTGAAATGACACAAATGTTTTCTACAATGACAAAATGTGGTATAAATTCAAACTAAACCTGTCTGGAGTGAAAACTAATGGCTGAAGTCTTGATGAAGCTGAGCCACTGTAGTTTTAGCCTTTGACAACTGATTATAAGTGGGAACAATCTCTGCACAGATCAAAAATATGTTTAAACTTCCATTGTGAAAATACCTGTACATTCATCCCAGAATTTGACTGCAAAAACCAAAACAATTAGAGTAAAGTAAAAAAAAAATAAAAAAAATTAAGCACAGGCACTATTAACATGGAAAGTAAAACTTTTTCTTGAATTTGTACAATTTGAAATATCATTGTGAGAATATTCTTTGCTATATAATTATAGTCAATTATATAAACATCTTTTTTTTTCTCAGCTGGGACCAAACATCCGAGAGCTATTTCGTTTGGTGGAGGACTTTGTGGATGTGATTGGTCTGAGGATGAAGGACTTCCAGGATATGTACGAGGTCACAGACAACCTGGGTGAGTGGGTGAACAGAAAAAATATGTGAAGCCAAACATTATGCTTTTTGAAACTATACACTTTGATACAATACAATTCAACATGGTGGTTACATTTTATAGTGAGGTTCCTTAATGAGAAATGCTTAGTGTATGAGATCTAATGTTTTATTTAATAACACAAATGTTAAAGAATGAAGATAAAATTGCTTTATTTACCAGTAGATTGAGTTTTGCTTAAATCAAAGTAGACGGCTGCAAAAACAAATGCATCGGTTTATCCAATATGTCGGTGATTTAACTCTTATTGAGGCTGATGTTTTACTTGTATGAACTGACCAGAAGTTTTCTGGTGTTAACTGTCACGTGCGGTGAGAGGAAGGACCCAAAATACAGGAATGCAAAATAATGTTTTAATGGTGAAGATAAAAAATAATGTCCAAGGTAAAAACAAAATCAAAATCCAAGCTGAATACAGGAACAAGGAACCAGGATCACAGATAAAGACAGAGGCCCCTGTCTCAATGCCCACACTGCACCCTACACACTCTCCGAAGTGTGCATTTGTTTGAAGTGCACGCAAGGGTTTGAGTGCGCAGGTTACAAGCGTGCGAAAAAGGCGGAATTAGGACAGTTGTTACGTCATCGACTCGTCAAGAGAACTTTATAAAAATTTAAGGTAATTTTGTGTAAAGTTTAAATTGAATGTGAAATTAATGCTTGCTTTTAAAAAGTTATTCAATTGTTACCATAGAATGTCCGTATTTCTTCATCAGACATCTATGCTGCTTTCAAAGAAAAAATGCTAAACTTATGTACACATCTACAGCATATATATATTTCAAAACTTACACTTAAATGCATTTTCCCGACGTTGTGGTGTGTACCGCAAAAAATTATGGGCAATATCCTTCGCCAGAGTCCGCTTCGATGCAGGCTACGGCGAAGTGTGGATCAGGGGCGCAAAGGGGGCGGGGCCAAAGACCTCCCTGGAGGATTGGGATTCCCTACGCACTCGTACCCATCATCGGCAACGCACAAATGAGGGGCGCGAGGGTGGAAGTGAGAGCATTGGGACAGGGCCAGAAACAAGACAATGGACCAGCAACAAGAGGAGAGGAGCACAGGGTACAAATAGACACAGACACAGGTGAAAGACATCAGGGCGGGGCAGACAATCAACACGGGAACAGGAAGTCAAACTAAAACAGGGAAAATAAATCGAAATAAAACCAAGTAAAATAACACAAAATCCACACCATGACACTAACTAGCTCTTTGTTTTAGTGAGGCTGGTACCAGAATAACAGTCATAAGAGTTGGAAAGTCCCTTGTGAGATGGTTCATGTGTGTTTATTGGACCACACAACATCAGTATTCTGAGTTAACCGAGCTGACTAGAATCCTCATGGCTTCCTAATTCTGTGTTTTTACATGTTACCAAAGTGTTGTTAAGACAAAGCGAACCAGAGTCCACTTCATTAACACTTGTATTTTTTGTGTTTCAGTGTTGAGCATCCACAAGCGGCCAGTGTCGGGCCATGCAGACGTCAGCTTCCCCATGAAGGGCTGGAGGGGGATGGTGGACTGGGCACGCAACTCTGAGGACCGCGTCACAGTGCCCAAGAACATCCTGGTGACCGGGAAACCTGGTGAGAACATGAATCTGCTTTAGACTCAATGCACTTGGTGGACTTTCCTGGTTAAACAAAGATTGAATAACATTAAAAAAGAATGTCTAAAGCAGAATGTGTTGTAATGTCTAAAATACATATATTGTCTGTCAATTATTTTATTTATGTCATGTAAAGGTTTGTATTTAGGTAATTACGTCAATACTTTGACTTGTCCCAGTGTGGATAGTTATCTGTATGTATCTATACCTTTACTGAAGTACCAAAGCCTAGTACTTTTTGACACCTCTGTTCACATGAATCTCAAATATGAACATAGTACACCACTGTATTCTATGCTGTATTTTCTCTGGTAAAAGTTGAACTTGAGTTTGCGTCATGTAACCATTAGGATAGAGACCTCATAGAAAGTAAGTTCACATGAAAAGCCAAGTAAAAGATAAAAAATGCTACATTTTCAAACACGCCTACAGAGGGCATGGGTTATGTTAAAGTTTTTTGTTAAAACATGTAGAAAAAATAATATAAACTTTTTAGCTCAATCTCAGACACTTTTATTTTTAGCCTGCACACACTTGTATCATTTTCTAACCACATCTGCTTTCCTGATTCTCTCTGCTTCTAGTCTTTGCATGCAATTTTATGTTAATGCGCTGTGGGGCTTTGAGTATTTTGGACACCGCTGAAGTGTTTTTATGCAAATGGAACTTCACTTTCCGTTGTGATGTTTGCATGCACGTCCATTTTAGCTCCCACTCTCATCGCCTCTCCCATTTGCCTAAAAGTCATAGTCTCTGGCAGCTGGGTGTAAGGTATAAAGACTTTTGTTTAGAGCAGTGCAAACGCTAATGGGGCTGTCAGTCTTAATCAGGAGACTACAGGAGCCTATCAGGGACAATTACAGCCACTTTGGTCCCAGCTGGAAATAAGCCTTAGCTTAGATGCGAGGCTATGGTGCATCTTAATGTGTGCGGTCAGGGTGACATGCGTTCACTGGGACTTCTTGTTGATTGTTGACAGCGTGAGTGGGACTGACTTGTTGTGTTTTTTTTGTATTAGGAGAAATCTGTTTTTCAATAATGATTCAAGTTGGTTCTAGTTCCTGAAAAGAATTGAAGTTAATTTAATCTGGAAAGACTCAAGACAAAGAATGCATTAGAACTATATTTATTGGCATGAATGTATAACAGCTGCATGAGTAGACCATAGACTGTAAATATAAACGAACGTAGTCACGCCTATCTCCGCCATTCTAACTAATGTGCCACCACTACCGCAGTCAATGGGCAGTTTCAAAATGGCTGCGGGGGCTGTAAAATGTGAAAAAAACGCATCTGCCCATGCGTCAGCCGGCACAAGCCCCATTCATTTAACGAGTGCCTTCAACATTTCACAGCAACTAAACTAGAAAAAAAATAATAATAATCACTCCCCTCAGCATTGACACACATGTGGAACGGAGCTTTGGCCCAAAGAGCCGACTTTTGGACCATCCTGTAAAGACGTTTTTGAGAGTTTTTCCGGGTCCACCCCATTGGCCCGGGGTTGTATTGCAAGTATGTCAGCGCATGTCATTTTGGACATTTTTTATCCAGGACCCACCCCCACTGGAGTAGACATGATGAGGCAGGCACAGCATGAGCTACTACTATATTTATTGCATTTCAACATGACATTTTCAATAAGATTTGGAGATTATTAGCAGAAATAATATAAAGCATAAGAATCTCTGATATAAAAATGGACTTTTATCAGCTTTTTACCATGTTTGTATTTATTTGTCCTTGTAATTTAGGTTGTATTTATGTTGCACCACCATTGCTTTGTCCTCAGCCCTCTGACTGCTGGCACCAAGCCAGCAGTCAGAGGTATATGTGGTATTTACCACACATATAGATATATAAAGAAAAGATAATGGAGTGATCAAAATTCATATGTCTGAACTTACCCTGTGTTAAAAATGGGTTCTACTACAGTTATCTGGACAAACGCACACAACAGACAAGGTATTAGTTTGTTACTTGCATGTCTTTAGGAGATGTCTTTACGGCTGGCAAGGAGGCCTCTGTGTCCTACACAGGCAATAGCCAAGTCCTGCTTGATGCTCTGCAGGCAGCTTATTTATTCAGAACAGAAAACCCACACGCTTACACATGAAAAAGCCCCCAAAAATAGGTGAACATTAATCACTTGTTGGACATCGTCTTGCAACATAGTTTCACAAAACACCCCATTGTGGACAATGTGGATAATTATTAGCTTGGTTTCAACACCTCAATGGTAGATTTCCCCTCTCCAATGTAGGTCAAACCAAAAGTTGATAGACTAATTATACTCACATTCATTTAAATGATAAATTTATAATTTCACTATCACCCTGTTTTTATTCATAGTCTCAAAAATACATGCAAGTATCAGATCATTTTGTAAGGCACACTGCCAATTTTTAAGTGACCCCAGTGGAGGTCAGTGGACAGCACAGAGCAGGTGTAGCCTGACAGACTAAACCCAGGGTCAAAAGTGACGGCCTCCAGCAAAGGGCTTTCTATTTTACCTGAAAAATACACAGATGCACATATTTTTAAGAGCAGCACCTTTAGACTGAACTGTCGGAAAAAAAGGCATGGATCATGCGAAAAACTGCTGTGAGTTATTAATTAGATTTTCACAATATCATTTAAAACACTGCAGAATAAACATCAAAATATGAAAGCACAGATATAAAAACCAGTAATCTGATCCAAAGTGAAGAGTGTGTGATCGTGTTTGCATCTTTCCCTTTTCTCTGCTCCTGTCTGATCCTGAACAGCAGTCTCAGATGGTGAGGCAGATGGTCAAAGTTTTATTCCCGTCTCAAGTTAAAAATCTTTTACATCTTGCACTTCATCGCGTAAAAAACAGCATACTGTTGGGCTTGAGGTATATACTTTAGGATTAAAGCCATTCAATCTGCCAAACTGCACCATCACTATGATTCTAGCAGCTTAGTACAAGGCAGTGTGGGTGAAGTAATGATCGAACACTTGAAGAAGAGGATACAACGGGGCTGTGCCATCAGCATAACGATACCGGCAGAAAAGAAAACATCCTAACAAATGCAGGGGAGGAAACTAGACAGAGTTAAACATGAGACGATAAAGAACAGAACCACCTCCAACCCCTCAGTATCTTGCTTAAAGCTGAGGTATCTAACTTTTTAAATGTCCTAAATAAGGCATGTTTGTCTTAACAGAAAGTGTTTTGTAAAAAATGGTGTGAAAGGCACAGGCGGCACATTGGCTGAGTGGATAGTGCTCTCCTGGGTTCGAATCCCAGGACCTTTCTGAGTGGACTTTGTATGTACTCCTTATGTGTGCTCCGCTTTCCCCTTCTAAAAAAAATATAGATAGGCCTAATCTTCCAGCTACTACAACTAATAAAGACCACAAGTCCAGACAAAGCCGAGCGTCAACTTCTGGAGATGGGTCCCCGGGCCCTGCACTATGGCGACTACTTCTCCTGATAGATGCACTGGTGGCAATGAAGGATGGGTCCAATGCAAAGGAAAAAATCCCTATGGGGACACAAAAGTATACAGTAACTGAACTGAACAAATCAGACCACAACATATTATTTTCATCATAAACATGCTACCTTTTTACATTTGTATAAAAAAGCTCCCTGTGAGTCACTAGTTGATGCATTGGGCAGAAAGCTGAGTGAGGGTTGTCTTCCCTTTTTCACTTAAAAAAAAAAGCTGAACTAAAAACAAATGCATGCATGTGGATATTAATGAAAAAGGTTAGGTATTACAGCTTTGATGACACATCCAGAGTTTGTATGGAGCCATCCGGTGAATGCAGTGGTGTGTTGGTTGTTCCCCCAGTGTGAGTGAGTGTGTCTGGGCACACAGCAGCAGTGGTTCATAGCTGAGTGGGCAAGTAGGACACGGAGCTGAGTGACCTGCATCCCTCTGCACACCTCTGTCTCTCACTCTCTGTGGGACAGATGTGCAGCAGCCCAGCTTCTTGTATTGATCGTATGGGTTGTGAAATATCAAAATGATCAAAACATGAAAAGCTTACGACCTGTCCTTATTACGGTGCTACTGAGGGGAAAGCGATGTATTTAATTTCTATAATAAATGACTAAAACTGGATCACAGCTTAATCTAAATCTGTTTACGTACTGTTTTTTTATTTCATTTAATGTATTTATTTATTTCAAGCTCATAAACAGGAATCATTTATTGTCATTTACAGTATTTACATATTATTAAGTGTTAGGCATTCCTTTTTCCTGTCAAAGTCCAGGGAAGAAGCTCTCACCCATATACCTAAATTCACCATAATAATATAACCTTGTATGGGCTTTGATTTGTACTAGTATTTTAAAAAAAGATTTAAGGAATGTCTGTTTTAAAAGATTACACTTTTGGTGCTCCAACACGACATTTAGGTTATTGGCCGTTCTAGTTATTGGCCACCATCATTTTGGCGGCTGTTTCATGATACATTACGATCAATGCTGAAGAGTGAAGAAAAAAAACATATTACAAGGAGTGCTGATTTCACTTCATTCATGTTTTGATGCTTCTGTTTATAAATTGGAATAGATGGAAGGATTCTGGCTCCAGACTGTTCTGAGGGCTGCACATTATCATCATCATCACCTCTGCTGCCATAGCCCACTGTGCTAAAGCTAACTCAAGCATTCAGAGCATCAGAATCCTTGCTCCGTGTGCTGAATTTGTACTTCTCTTTTCCTCTTGAACAGATGCAGATGACTCCTCTACGTTTGTGACTGGGATTGTCCTCTACAGAAACCTGGGGAGCATCCTTGCTCTGCAGAGGTGAGATTATTACCAAATATACTTTATGACCGCGGATATACAGAAGGGATTAACAGTGATGGTTTTTACGATGTTTCTGTTAGAGTCAGAATCAAATAGCTGCTCTAGTCTGATTCAAATCGACTGAGCAAAAACACATGTACTGTAAGCCTCTGAATGTTGACTAGCGCGTCGCAGCCCAATTTTCTCAATTCTGGGTGCTGCTTCGGCGTCAGAATATACTTTTTGTAACACAGGTGCTTTTAGAATGAAGCCATATTGGATAACTTGTGTGTTCTGCTACTTTGACCTGATATTCAGCTGAATGGATACAACCAAATGTAGTATTGGTTCTGAAAATGTGGAGCTGTGATTGCCAAATAGATGTGGGTACAGTACAACCTCAAATACAAAGAATCTCATTTACTTAAGATCACCAAAATAACATGTATATCAAGCATTTAATTTTGTATGTGTTTCGGGGAGTTCATCCCAGGTCCAATTTGAGGCAGACTTTGGTAAATTCAGCGTCATTCATTTTATTGGTCAGACACAATGAAATATGTGCAAGTCTGCGGTGGAGTGGCGGTAACTCATAAATGGGAATGCTTTAATAAAACAAAAGTATGAACTGTGAATAGCTAATCATCATGACTTTATTTATTTAAGACATTTTTATTTCCAAAGTGTTGCACAAAAACATAAGTAACACATGTAAAAATACAAGACTTCCAGATGTATGTATTTAGTTTTTTAAAAGATCTTGCCGTAAGCAGCTGTAAAAGGCTTAATATCACTCGGACATTAGCTGATTATGGGCCTGTGCTGACCCCTGACAGGAGGGCGTGTCCAGTTTTCTCTGTCTGTCCCGCCGTGTGTTTCAGATGTAAATGGGTTATTTCAATAGTATTCTGTAGATCGTTCCAGACAAAAACATTTCGAACTAAAAGACCCTTACACAATGCAGAGTTATTATTGTGACCACAGATATTGAATATAATGATGATGAAGTATTCCTGTAGAGAGAGATTTCATTATCTGATAAAAGCACACACAATACCACACGCTTTCATGAAACATGCATAAGTCAAAGGTCATTTTTCTGAATGTGAAAATCATGTCATGTTTTTTTCTATATATTCAGCCTCTATTCATAATTCATTGCTTTACTTTTAGCACTTTGTTAATAGAAAAGGTGAGCATTTTGAAAACTCTATGCTTGATATTTGGGTCAAAGACTTGTCCTATTTTGACTCCATGCTTTGGTTTCATTTTATAAATGTACTATTATTTTTTATGTTTTGTCATTTATACTATTGTCAACGAGATAGAAATCTCAAAAATGTTATTTTCCATGAGGATTGAATGTTTTAATGTTTATTTGAGCACAGAAAAAAAATACAGTAAGAACAACAACAAAAACAAAAGGAAAACAAACGACAATAAATACAAGACAATAACAAAGAAAGAAAGAAAAGATAAAAAACAGACGAGACTAGCCTGGTCGTACCACATCATAGTACAAAATACATTTGGTACTAAGGTCTGGAGGTGCTCCATTGGAGGTGCTCCATTGAGCTCCGTGAACAGGTGGGAGGGGTCAACTCCTTTTGCAGATTGAAACGATTGGATCTGAGTTTACCGTGACGTATGTAATGCACCCGAGTGAGTTGTTAGCATTTAGCCTAGCTTTAGCGATTACATTTTCTAAACATTCCTCTTGCTCCGACTTCAATTTCTTGATAGAACCAGAGCGAAAAACTTTGGTATCGCATTTTTTTGCATTGCCAAACTACAACCTGCCTGTTCGGCGCAAACTCTTTACGTCACCCAAATGTACAGTAACTACAACACTTGCCTTCTGCGCCCGCTGATTCGTCGGATGGAATTCAACCAATTGTAATCTCAAACACAGGGACTACTAGACTCAGACGTTACATGCAAGGAAATGATTATTGAGCGGAGTGTACGGATTGCTAAGGCCAGGCTAAGGCAAGACTTATTCATGTTCAAAAGTAGTAGGAAGAAGCCAAAGCTTATTAAATCCTACCCTTTATTTCAAGCCTGCACATAAATCAACATAACATAACAGACAGACGTACATGCTTCAAAGAAATCTGATATATATGAGATTATACAACATAGTAACAGCCTATAGTTTTACGTTTTTCCCCATATCTATAACTATAATATATATAAATTAGTTAAATGTGTCAATGCTGCCCCACCAAGCAGCATCCTGAGCATGTTTTAACGCAGTCGGTCTTAAAGCGTTGGATAAATATTTCAGGCACTTTATCACAGTGCGAAAAGCATTAGAGCGCGCTACAGTGGAGTGGCTTGTGCTCACAAACTTGAAGGTAAAATGAGGATTTAAGCATGGGCACAACAGCAGCTGCAGGAGACCGGAGCAGGGCTTTCGTCTGTGGACTGTTAGGTTATAGGAAAAGTGAATGTTTAACCAAGATTTTAAAGTTTAGTGTTATGGGATGCCCATGTCCTTATAAGGGAATGACATAAAATCATCCATCAAGCTGTTAAAATAGATGAAGACACTCTTGGGTGGGTAATGTGAATGTTTATTTATTTTTTTGTAGTAGGGACTAAATCATTCTAAACTAAAACCAACCAATATTTCTAAAGTAACATTTTGTGAACATACTGTATCAGACCACATCATGCTGCCTTTGTCTTATTGGTAAAGTGTACATACTTGTAAGAAAGTATGCAAAGCACTTTGGCTTTGGGCTGAGAGTTGATTGGCTGACAGTGGGTGGTCCTCTCTTTTTAACTAGTATGTGTTTTGAGAGTTAGGGACTAGTTAATTATATTTTAAAGTTTTTTGTGTGTTTTGAAAATGAAGTACCCCAGCTTTAATGTGCACTTTTAACAACTTTGCTGGTTATTCAGGAAATACAGTTTTTTGACTGAAGTACCATCTTTCCTCCATAACCGCCTGCATTTGAAAGGTAGTCTCATATTAGATTCTTCTCCAGTATAATGGCAGGACTTGTGGTGGGGACAGTGGCTGACACACAAGTTTAAGTTGACGGATTATGTTTTTGCTTTTGCGAGGGCGAAACTGTGCCGAGGATCCAGAGATGATACGAATCAGGCCATGGGCCGCTGAACATAGTTAGCCCACTGCAAGCTTTTGTATCCATTTTTATGGTGCCAATCCATGTTTTGTTGATTGTCTCATCTAGTGTGATTGATGGTGTCCATGAACAGCCCAGAAGGTAATGCATACTAAACAGGAACATGGAATGAAAAGAAATGTTTTAAATGTTTGTCATACTTTTTGACTGTAAAAGAGTAGACAATCTGATAGAAACCCCACTTTGTTTTGCAAAGAGCGTTAAGATATTTATCTGGGCATCTGTTTTGGAGTTGAGACTGTTCAACTTCCATCTGATTTCATGTTTTGTGTGTGTGTGAGCTTTATATATATGCGTGCTCTGAAGCTAACGTGATAGTTTTATTATATCTTGTATGTTTAATGAAATTGTAGCTTTTGCCTAATAATGTCTGCTATGTATTGTCATGCACTTGTTTTACTGTGACATCAACCTGCTCAGGGATTTCACGTGTAAATTAGCACTCCTACTATTGGGTGGTACAATGCATCGCTTCATTCGGCCATTGTTTATTGTACACTGTCCCTGTCGAAATAATTAAGAAATACCATAGCAAATACCAATTGCGCTGAAATTGGTTTAACCAGAGGAATTCTCAGTAATCTTCATTCCCAATGGAAGAAGCCAAACCCGAACATGAAAACACACATTGACAGCCCGCTATTCCCAAGATGTTGCTTCAAATATGTGTAATCTTTTGCCCCTAAATTAACTGTTTTACATTGTCTTTCTCAATTCTCTGTAGAAACAACACGATTCTGAACTCAAAGATTCTTTCGGTGGCCATCAAACCGAGCCCGGCCTCCTCGCTGTCTGCTCCCGTGGTCGTGGAGTTCTCTCATCTTTACAACGTGAGTCCAGCCTCTGTCACTATATGAACCCCTCGAAAGCCTCTGCTAATTGGAACTGCTGTAGAAGCCATGTTTGATCACACGTCTTCTTTCTCTTCTTTTGCTTCAGGGCACCACCAATCAGTCCTGCATCTCCTGGGACGAGAGTGACAGGTAAAATCTATGGTGTCTCTCTGTTATTTTGCGGGAAAGTAATACGAATGGATTGCAGTTATGGGCATGAAAGCACAGACAGGAGTGGACAGCAAGTCAAATATGATGTCAATAGAGCTTGTTATACGTACATAAAAGTAAAGAACAAATATCCTTTTTTGGCCATTTAAATATATATATACAAAATATAAATATATCATTATACCATGTTGAATATATACTTTGTCATTTCATAAAAAACTTAAGTAGAAAATACATGATGAAAAGTATGAAGGGTAGACAATGTTTGAACGTGTTGATGTTGTGCCAAAACTAACTGAGTGTGATAGTGTGGGAAAATGACTTCGAACTATTGCCAGACTGAGATAACTCCACGGCTGTTTTTGATGACAATGCTGTGAACAAAAATCTTGATATTGTGTAATATGTCTCCTTTAAAGGTCTTTATTTTTCTAAGATTGAGGGAAGTGAAGTTGGAAGCAAGGTGCTGCATGCCCGTTGACATTACATTTGGTCAAACTCTGATGGAAACCAATATGAACAAAATACAATCCTAGTTTAGTCTGAATGTCTCAGAATGAGATGGACCCGTGTATTTTTTTGGACCTTCTAATGGCTCTGTTGAGGATCATTCAGCCGCACATTTGGGCTGTTCACTTGTTGTCATGTGCTGATAGTTTACTCATCCCCCTTTATTGACGTTCTTCGCATGTCCTGCCGATGTTTTTATTATAACTTTTTGACAACGAAGTGCAATTGAGCAAAAACATTCATTTAAATTTAAAGCTCTGTCTGACTGGAACAGTTTAACTTCATCTATCCACTCTGTCACTTCTCTGCCTCTGTTTAAAAATGCTCTGGTCCATCACCTCCAGAACCCATGCCAGTGTTATTGAGCACATGAACCTAAATAATATTTAATGATATGTACTGCTATAAAAACTAGCTGTAATCATTGTTAATTATAACAGACATTATATTCATAACAATCAGTGTGTGTGTGTGTGTGTGTGTGTGAGTGTGTGTGTGTATGTGTGTCCTTTGTCTTTTGTGTTTGTATTATTTTCTTTGAATTTAATAATGTTTTCACTGCTGTCTTGTATTTTGTGCAATTTTGAGGACCCCCTCGAAAACGAGATGTTTCATCTCTAGGGGCTTATCCTCCAAACAAATATTTATTTGGAAATTGTGAGGTTTTGCAGCTTCTGTCCAGTCTGCCTTGCTGTCAGTCAATATAGACATTATATCGCCCCCATTGTTTGTGACCTTATTGTATCAAGACAAATGCAATCATCCCAGCCCCATAAGAATGTTGAGGATGAGGAGCCGGTATAATGACTTAATAAGCAGCTCAAAAAGCACAGTTTAATTTACATAGGCGCTTAAAACCATCTCTGAACAGCTGTCTTCCTGATGCAACAGCACTGCACCAGTCCTGTAGATTTATCCTGAAGTGTTTTTAATCTTGACAAAGTCTCTGCTGCTCAGCTGGCAGTGTTCGGGACAGCGCTAACCCACTCTCAGTGCACTGACACTGAGGCAGCCGCTGGAAAATTAAAAGTGTCGCTCACGGCCCCTCCTCCCCTCCTCCCCCATCGCCTTCTATCCCCCGATACTCGGACTCGCTGGAGAAGAAGGCACTTTTTAACGGAGCGGGAGACGGAAGCTGGAGTAAGATACAGCCTGCTGTTATGGTCTTTGTCAAAATATAAATATAGATTTACATCATTTATCAACTAAACAAGTGGCATCTTAAATTTGAAGGGGCAATATAATAATCACAAACTTCTCTTGATGGTAAATACTGGAAGAGCTTTGTTTGACAGGTTAACAGGTTAATCGCAATAGATTTTTAGCTCCTGAAAAATATCTACATGGCAAATTTGAATACCGGTGTCAGAATCTTTTGAGTAAGAAATTATAGAGAAAAGAGGAAGGATGTGTTGTGAGTGAAAAAAGGGCTACACAAGACTTCTCAAACACTATCACATGTTGTGTAGTTACTTTTTCATGGTATTACTCAGTTAATTTTATTTTAATTAGTCAAAGCTCAGGCCACCAGTATTCAGTTTATACCCTTTAAATACTTCATAACATACTGAGGCTGGAGTAAGATTAAATGGTGATCTTGTATCCCTAAAGTCATGCTAAAATGAAAATCATTTTGGAAACGCATGAACGTTTTATTTAGTGCAGCTTGATCTCTGCAATTTGCCATTTGCTCCTAAGTGCCTATTTATCTAAGGCAAGAAAATGGTGCATTGAGTGTGAGTAAGGGCAAAAGAACCAGGAGACGACTGCACAACACAAGCGTTGCCTTATTGCATTGCAGGTTTTTGGACATTTGCATTTAGATGGCTACAAACTGTGCTCTAAAAAGAGGGAACATTCAGTCAAAAAGGATTAAAAGAAGTTGGACTTGCACAGTGCTTCTAAACCCGAGGCAAAGTCAAGCGTAAATCTGCAGACGGAGGTGCAAAATTTGGGCTATTACAAAAACAGAGAAACAAGATGGTGAAGGCTAACCATGACAAAGGGACATCTCTCACCCACACGTCTGCTCCGGAGCACATTCCACTTTGTTTGTGTTGTTTGTTGTCGCTTTAAATTCAGGATTTTTGAGGCAGCAGCCCAGCCATTTCAATGCAAGTGCAGTGCTCATCCTGTTTAATTCAAATCCCCTCCGCGCCTCTGTGTGACTGTATTTCCACGGCCTGTGCGTTTGGGTTTTGGGCGCAGAATACAGCGGATTAGGTTTAAATATACGGGAGTGTGAGAGTGGAATTTCCACCAGACATGAAAGAAGGCAGTTGGGCTGTGTTAAATTTAGCTCGAGCATCAGCACACACTTATTTCTAACAGCTCTTAGGATCCCTCTGAAAGTATAATTTCATGTAAGACGTCAATGTTTTGAGCTTTTGAAAACATAATTGTGCTATTTTTGACCCTTAAAAATATTGTAAGAAGTTATGCCTCAGCATTTCATGTTTTAAAAACTTCCAAAGGTAACATTCCAGGACATTATTATGGTCAAGATAGAGATTTTATACTTTTTATCTGATGCTAAAGTTAGAGACTAGGTTCTATTTTAAATATATTATGTATAGTTATTGTTGACATGCTGTATCTTGTGCTGTGTGCTCCTCATTCCTATAAGTTCTATAACTTAGTATGCAACACAGAAATTTCCCCACCGTGGGACGAATAAAGGATCTCTTCATCTTAATCTTAATACCAACGCAATTGAAGCGAAGACATGTCACTTCAGAACAACTCTAAACTTTTCTCAGAAAGCGTGAAGAGACTATTTCAATTTGACTAAGTGAGTTGTCAGGGAGAGGCCCATTCAGTATAAAATTATCAAAGAAAACCTGAGCTAAAGACAACTCCAGGCGTTGTGTATTTTGATCCGTTTGATTCCATTCATCATTGATGCTCTCCTGGATCAGACAAAGTACAGCGGATTTCCTGTGTTTCCTTAAATATGCCAAGACGCCTATATTAATTATTGAAAGATACTGAAGTTCTGACAGTTGGAGTATTGCACCTTCTGCTTGTGGATGGATGCAACCATACACTCTGTGGTTTCTTCCTTTCCTTTTAGTGTGAATAATGTACCAAAAGACTTGCCTTGTGCTTACTGTATGGACTCACATTAAAGTTTTAATTGTTTGGCGCCCAGTGACCCCCGCATTTTCATAAAACAGATCTACATAAATATGTAACTCTTTGAATATCATACTAACTCTAGTGTCTGAATTGATATAATGACCAATGCACAACACTGACAGCCGGTGCGGACAGTGGGCACCATCTGAAAATATAGTTTGGCTAGAATTGTCTTTCTCCTTACTCACCCCCATGGCCGTCCCGTCGCTCATTCGCCTTCTCTGAGACACACAAGTTAATTAAACTGTAAAAGAACGCGAGCATGACAGACAACATGAAGACATCCACAAAAACAAAGGGACAGCGGTGCAGGCAATCTCACGCCGCCTGCTCCGCCGCTGCTCGGCTGGGAGACAGGCATGTTCGGGCAAAATTAAAAATCCATGGTGGACAGCTGCGATGATTAATGAGTTCATATTTGGGACAGAAATTGATATCAAAGCCTGGCGTCGGCCTTGTCGCGTTGATCTGTGCTTTGTGCGTGAAAATGGATGTGTGTAAAATGTAAAACGTGCTTGCCTTTTAGTGTGAGAGGTGGCTGCTTGTTTTTACATGACTTTTATTGCACTTTCCCAGATTCCAAATATGTTTTTCACTCAACTAGTCTAATGAAAGTAGAGGTAACTATCTTTCCAACCACAAAACATTTTACAATTCATGTAAGTAAGTGCTTTATTTCTATGGCGCATTTTTACAGACCAAGGTCACTCAAAGTGCTTTACAATGATCAGAATAGATGTTCATGTAATTATATCTCCATGTTTTTTTTGTATTTTTCTGCTTATTCAAACAGAAAAGTGAGGCCCACAGCAAATGATACATATGGCTCTTTTTTTTTTTAAGATGCGGTGACCTGCTTGGTTTGAAACACTACCTTTAGTGAGTCTTTATATTGGGACAAACAAAATGTATTATGAAAAACAAAATGTAAAGGTCAGGTACCCCAGTAAACAAATACTTTTAATTGGGTTTTTGTTTTTAATTAAAAAAAATAGGCTTTTTCATTCAATTCAATTCATGAGCTTAATTCAAAGATATACTAAAGCACTTAAAATAGTAACCCGTTTTTTTTTTAGCTACAGTCTACGTCAGATTAATCTGGAAAGCTGTTGTATAAATAAATAAAAAATCCATTACCTCCATGCTAGCATCTGTTAGCCTAATTCCAATCTGATCCGATGCACTTGACATGCCTGACGCGCTAGTTATTATAAGACATTATTTATTTTTGCCTTGATGTTATATTAACCATCCCTGAAACTGGAAAGATTAGCCCTGACAAATCTGAAGTCGGCTTTGAATTATTAACCAACTTTGTCACTTTCCATATTCGTCATCATGCCATTCTCTGCTTCAAGTGTGTATTCAAATTAGCTGAACGTTCCTTCTAACTGCATGAAGGAAAATACAACAAACTGACTTTCTTTTTGGATCCAGGAAATTAGAAAGAAAGTCGCACAACATTGGTGTCATTGTTTACGAGTAGCCTGAAGCCCCCTTGATCACAGTCACCTCAGCGGACTTGTTAGGTTGAAACGACGTCTGTGTTTATCAAAGTTGTCAGATTTCAACGATGAAAGGTGAGGAGTTTATTTACTTGACCAAACTTAGCTAAACTGAGGAAAACTTTAGGGAAACTGCTTGCAGAACATTGGGGAAAATAGGCCAGTGCTTACCAAAGTGGGGTCCGGTGCCACCTGGGTGGCCTTAAAGGCACTGCAGCGGGGCCCCCAAAGGTTGTCCACACAACCATTACTGAGAATGTGTAGCAAATCTGTGAATACTTTCATTGTAATTATTACATCATTAGCCTACAGCGTTTTACAACTGAACTTTTAATTGTCTCTGTTTATACTGTATGTTATGGTCTAATTTTAAAAGGAACATTACATATTAATCAATATAGGATTTGATTATATTTGAGATGTTTGATTCAGTAAGGAGTTCCAATTATTGGGAAATTCTGTGTGAAGCTATCTGCTGGCATTGATAAAAAGTAAAAATCCACCATTATTTCATTATGTGTGTTTGATTGCTTTAAAGCAGGGGTGCTCACACTTTTTCAGCATGTGAGCTACTTATAAATTGATCAAGTCAAAATGATCTACCTACTACAAAAATGCAAAACATACATTTATTTCCAAATGTATTGAGGATATTATATCAACAATTTATGTTGATGTACATGCAAAACTGCATGAGCCAATATAGAACAACCCAATACAAATAACTATGTACATTTTTTGTCATTATCCGAGTTTATTCTGATGACTTGCACTGAATTGAATCAGCCAGGGATGCATAGTCCGGACAGTAGCTGCTGACATCCAGCCTCAAGCACACTTCCAAATGTTCATCAGTCATGGTGGAACGGTACTTGGACTTAATGATCTTCATGTGGGAAAAGGCTGACTCACATAAATAAGTGGAGCCGAATAATGCAGTCAAGGAGGTAGCACATTTCCTGATGTTGGGGTACTTCACCTCTGTGAGTAAGTTCCAGAACTGTCCATGAGCTCTGGACTTCAGCTCAATGTCGGCTTGCAGTGTCAAAATCTCCTCTTCCACTCCAGAAAAGTTCAGGTGAAATAGTGTTGAAATTTTGGATGCGAGTGATTCAACCTCAGCATCTTCCCGAAAAGGATAGCACATGAATGTAGCAACTGGTTCGATCAAAGAAAAGTCTTGAAAGCGTTTGTCAAACTCTGACTGACAATTGTCAATCTGCTCTGTGTAGCGCGCACTGTCAAGTTGCACACAGGCCTTCCCTTGCATCTCCAGCTCTGACGCCAGGTTCTGGAAGTTTGCCAAATCATGGCGCTGCAGCTTTGAGGAAAAATGTTGCATTTTTCGTTTAAAAGCACTAACTGAGCTGATCATATTGATCACTGTTTTGTCTTTTCCTTGCAGCTCTAGATTAAGCTCATTAAACATGTTGGTCAGATCGGTTAAAAATGCCAAGTCTAACAGCCACTGACCGTCATTTAGTTGCGTGTATTCTGCATGTCCAGCTACACGGAAAAATTCCCTTATCTCTGGACAGAGCTCTCGAAATCGTTGCAGGAATTTGCCTCGACTAAGCCATCTCACGTCAGTGTGCAGCAACAACTCAGAGTGGTCGCAGTCAGCCTTCTCCAGATGTGCACGAAATAACAGTCTTTGAAGAGATCTGGCGCGAATAGAACAGGCGATCTTTGTTGCAACATCCATGATCTCCTTCATGTTGAGCATTTTCGCGCATAACGCTTGTTGGTGGATTATGCAATGGTAATTTAGGAAGTCCGGGAAATCATCGTCCTGCCTGCACTTGGCAATAAATCCATTCAAGCGGCCAACCATTGCGGGAGCTCCATCCGTGGTGATAGACACCAGTTTGTACACTGGGAGCTGAGTTTTCTCCATAAAGTTTTTAAATGAATTAAATATGTCCTCTCCTCGTGTCTGTTCTTTCATGTGCAGTACTGTTAATAGCTCTTCTTTTGTACTGATATCACTAAACACCATACGAATAAAAATGCACATCTGGGCTGTGTCACTCACGTCCGTAGATTCGTCCAACTGCAGTGAGAAACACTCGCAATCTCCGATGTCCTTCCAGAGTTGCTGGGTTAAATCCTCAGCCATGGCTTCACAGCGCCGTGTAACTGTACTTCTTGACAGCTGGAGAGCTTTGATCGAAGATAATATGTCTGCCTTATTTTTAAAGTCTCGAAACAATGAATCAGCTGCTTCAACGAATGCCTCCTTTACCATCTCTCCGTCTTGGAAAGACTTTTTTTTATTAACGATGATGTGACTCACTCGGAACGATGCTTCGGTTGCAGCTTTCGCTCTTGAAGTTTGTTGTGTGAAAAATGACTGCTGTCCGGACAACTGTGATTTTAGTTCCTTCACCTTTCTCTTTCTCAGCTCGCCTTTTGGTGGGAAGTCAGTGTCGTATTTTCCATGCATAGTCCAAAAATGCCGCTCCACATTTCCCTTCTTTGGTATTGCGATGGTGGACTGGCAGATGAGGCAAACGCACTTCGAA